AGTAGGTATACCTACCCTGCATTTTTAAGACAGAATGATATCAAACACTTGAAAAAAACATATATTAATTCCAATTCAGCGGTAAAATATTATAATTCAATTGAATTGATTGAGTTAATTTTGTGTTATACAAACATTTTATTTAAAAAATATAGTAGCCACGTAGCTAACGAATAAGAATAATTATAGGTTATTATGAAAAGCGAAGACTGAAAACAGTGAATAACTAAGAAATCCATATCAAACTCGTAATAGTGTGGACGATGTTATGGTACACATCCGTTGTAATATATATATATATATATATATATATATATATATAATAGTTTTAAACTTAAAAAAATGTATAGTAATACATGGATTAAAACATAAGTTAGAACAATAGTCGGTCCACATTGAATTCGTAGATTGTTTATACTAAAAGCGGAACCCACGTACTTATACATTTTTACTTACGTTCATCTCGTTTATTTTGATCACACCGCTGCGCAAGTTATATGCGCGTTTTCAAATTAAAGCCGAATTACTACGTGTTTATGCTATCAAAGATTAATAGCGTTACGTGTATAATAATATGTATATTGTATAATATATGTATTATATATTATACCTTTCTGAAGGTTCGTATAATATTATAATATTAGAAACGAATTTCCATCGCGGGTCCCCACGTGCGTATTCCCAAAATCGTCCTGCCCGAGGTATATAGGTCAGCGCCGTGGATAACGACCGTTGATAAATTACGATTCGCATGTACGTCAAATGGATGAAACGGCTGAAACACACGCGCACGCTATCCACCGTCGCTGTTGGTAGGCAGGTATTGTAGGTGTGGGTAGGTACGTGTAATATTTATATCGCCGAGTCGTCATAGTCTTTGCCGTCGTCGTCATCGGTCCTCTAGTCCGCGGGTGCACGTTAAAATAAAATAATTTTTCACAGCTATCTTATATTATTAGTAGGTAGATACCTACTAATAATATTATAGACTATAGTTTATGACCCGGTTATGGTTGGTAGTTCACACGACAATCGGTAAACGTTTACTGACCAGCATATTTCGTGCCGAATTCCTTTATTGTCCAACGTCATTCTAACGGTCTGATAATATCATAACAATATATTATAATACACTTTCAATAATAATACCACCAATGTTGACGTAGGTATTAATGTCATATAATTTATCGTTGTTCTGTTGATAATAAAATTCAATTTTTTCCAAAGTGGTAATTTATTTTTATTTTATGATCTTCACTAGATCTATGTACATTTGAGAAAAAAATGATGCTAACGAACGATTTTACAATGTTTAAATCTATAAATATCTTACACTGTACACAATAGTATGTAAAATTATATTAAGTATATTTAAGCATTCGAATTTTATATGAAGCATTTATGTGAAGCACCAATATTGGGAACCTATTTTGAGATGTTATAATAATTGTCAAAAAAATTGTTAGAATAATATTTTTTGTACAATTACCACCTTCTTGAAATCCGATACCTAGATTGATGTGTCTATCTATTTTGGTTGTTCAATTAAATATTTTAGGGTGAACATTTCATAGATCAAAGCTGAAAACAAAATTGTATTAACTTCTAAGGAGCGTACCTCTAACCCAATTATTGTTTTACTAAACGCAATGTGCAAAGAATAATCAAAATCGAAAATATAAAATCACCTCATCATTCGATAAAACAATAAAAGTTTTCATCATCGGGTTATCTGAGCAAAATTCAATCGGGGTTAGAAAAAAGTATAAATAGATTTAACTTTCTCATGTCGTCAAGACGGTGACGAAAATTTATTATACGGAAACCTCTTCACGGGTCTTGGTGACAAAACTGAACTCTCATGGGACTGTTGCAAATACGAAATCAAATTCAACACCAGCCTAATAATATTATTACGCACATACGCACGTATATACACACACAAACACACACTTGATTTTTTTTTCCAATAAACTACCCACATTAAGGAATCATATTTCACATGTACACGCTTATAAGACTCTGATACGCGAAATTATAAATACTATTTATCCATTTTTAAGTGATAATTAAAACTACTTTAACATAATTAAGAATTTCAATAAAAATTGTGTTAAAATTATTAGTTTCTATAGAGTCTAAAAAATACCGGGTGTCACCAAAGTTAAATTTTTTATAAATAGTTTTTTGTTGCTCCTAATTTGTGTGGATTACGCCCTTTTTACAAAACAATGTAAATATGTTAATGTTATCATATTGATATATTTTGACTTTAAATAACAGTTTTAGTAATAATTTAAAATAATTAGAATCGTTCAAGTTTCGTAAAATATTGGTGCATCGTGCATAATGATCTCACTTTTTCAAGTGAACCATTTTTTTTTTACTTTCTACTTTTAAATTACCATATTATTTCTAATTGTATACAAAATAAATGTCATTCTGACTTCTGAGGTGACAAAGACTAATATTATAAGCCAAACCATTTTCTGAAGAAAACCTCCTCTTTACTTTTAATGTTTTCCCTAGATTTCCATTCCCATAAGGATTCAAATAAAATCATCATTGACGTTACTCAAAATTGAATAGTGAAACCATTGATTTTAGAAATATAGGTATTTACCGTAAAAAATACTTTTTTTTCAACAAATGCAATTCCTCATTGTGTAGTACGTAGTAACATTTAATATATATTTTATGGACAGATAAATCTTAAATCTCTATGGAACTGAATGCATGCTTAAATATTTATATTTTAGATCCAGAAAAGATAAATACTAAACCCTTCTATAGTGATAGTACTATAAAGCCAGTTGGATTTCAGTCCGAGAAGGTTTGATCAAAAATAAAACACAATACCTAGAATCTAGATTCTTATTATAATTGCTATAGTTCTAAGCAGTGGCGCATTTATAGGGAGGATAGTCCAGGGGTACTAGACCCCCCCCCCCCCCCGAACCCAAAAAAAATTAACTAAAGATATTGAAATTTTAATTTGAAATTACATTATAATACAATGTATAGATGATGTTCATACAAAAACGTTAAGTATACAAAAAATAAACAACAATTTCCAAATTAAAAAAATGTTTGCCCCCCCCTCCCAGAAAAAAGTTGAAAATAAACCACTGGCTCTAAGCAGTATTGAAATAATTATGCAAGCAATAAGTTGATAATGAATCTTAAGGAGTTTTTTCCCCCTCCATAATAATAACAATAATAATAATGATGTTTTATTTGCCAACTTTTTTTTTTAATACGATATAAACAAATCTACAATAAGATTTTAAATTTCTTAAATAATACAACAAATTGCGTAGGTATTGTCAAATAATTATTAACAGTACATTATAATTCGATGAAACTATTAATAAATGATAGATACTAGATACCTGCGGTTTTAGTAAGATTCATCTCACGCATTAAAAACAGAGATGTTATCGACCATAATTACACAAGTAGGTATTGTTTCATTTTGATGAGTCTACTATTTCAAGGTAATTGACGTCATATAAATATTTATTGGGTGAATAAATATAAATCGAAAACGATGACAATATTATGGAAGTACAGATTCATAATTTATTAATTAGTTGTATAAACAACACAAATTCATTTATCGTTATAAGTGGAGTCAAAGCGAAATAGCTATTTTTGGAAAAAAGCAGAATAGGCTTACAAATTATCGTAGTTGTACTATTCACATATGGGATGATGGATAAAAATGTACCGAGGACAACATAATGGCATTTGGTGTATGTTGAAAATATCATAATAGGTACAGCTTGACGTCGATTTTCTCATATTATTTTAAAATATATGCCCAAGCCCTTTACTAAAACTACTACTAAAACGTTATTGACAAACTTGATCCACATAAGTGGAACAAGTGGCCGTCCTGTGAATATATTATAAATGTGGAATGTAATGTTGGTAGTACAAGTGATTAGACAAAATCCGAATATTATTATTATTATTAATAAGTACGTACCTAGTTGGTTTCAGATATCTTAGTCATTGATAAGATACATCGAAAATATCTAGCACACAGCGCTTATACACATATACAATATGCATTGGATACTTCGGGAAGATACATCCAATAATTTGTAAATGATTAGTATTAAGTTTAATAATACATTTATGTTGAAATATATCAACAACTCGGAGTTATCTTGTTTTCTTATAAATATAATTTATTATTACATTTATCTAGTCTAATGAAAATGTATAAATATCATTGTGTATATAAAATTACAATAATCTACATAAAGTTTCCAGTAGGTACAGATGAACAATATTTTTGAATTACAACAAAATTGATAAAATTGTTATTATTTGTTTAAATATTATGTAATTTCATCCAACTTCAAACTAAAAATTAAATCAAATTAATTTTTCAGGAGCATTTGAAGTTAAACATTGGATGTTCGGTAAATTAACAAATTCTCGTACAAAGATTTTCTTATTTTGTAGTTATTCAAAAACTTATAATCCTAGGTACCTGAAATTTTCATCATATCATTTTTTTTTAATATTCAGACTCTTTTCGAATTCTCGAATATAGACATATTTTTCAATTTTCAATTTTTTCTATAAATGTCAATAAAAAAATTGTATTATATTACATACACATATTTTTTGATAGTTATAAAAAAAAAACAACAAAAATTGAAAATGTCAAATGTTTATAAATAGTTTAAAAAGAGTCATACTTAGATATATTTAAAACTATAGGTACCAAGTATAGGAAATTTTGATATTTTAACTATAGTAAAACTAGTTGATTATCATTTAGTTTAGTTACAGGTATGACGTATACATACATTTTTAACATAAACATATTCTTAAAATAAAGTTGTTACAGTGAATATCTACTTACTAATTACCTTAACTAGAAAATCCACTATCTACGTTTAATTACATTAAAATTGTAATTCTTTTATTTAGCTTTGTATCTATAATTGCATTACAACATTTAATATTTTGAAAAAACTTACAATACGTATCTTCTATTAATTTGTCAATTGTATCTTGCTTCAGTTTTGAGTTCCTTTTTCCCATGCTTTCTTTTTCTTATCTTTGTATATCTGAGCAAGAACAACCTTCTTGCATCTGACGTTACTGGATTATTGTCTTATTACTGAAAAAATCATACATTTTATTATTCGTCCATCTTACTTTGCTAAGTTAGTGAAAAGAATTAGACTCGTTACAGTGTGACACAGTAAAGAGTAACTTAACGTGGCAAGTAGTCTATTTTAGTGTTAAACATTTTGGCTAAAGAATTCATCTATTTTTTATTAAATTCAAATTCTAAAAATTTGCATTTAAAAATTATATCTATACCTAATTTATGTTATTTTTTGGGACTAATAAAATATTTAAATCAAATATATTTGAGATTCTAAATCACTAATAAGTAGTTAAAAATTAATCAGTAGTATAATCAATAATTAATACTAAAGTTATCATAATTTACCTTGTAACGGTCAACTATACATTTTTATTAATCTCAACATTTGATAGCAATGATTAATTTTAAAGAACATTCAGGATATCATATTTCACTTACTAATAATTATTTCACAGAGATTACATTTTAAGTTTAGGAATTTGATAGCTTAAAAAATAAAGATACGTTTGATATGTTTTATAATATCAATTTTTTTAATTGGTTTTAAAATATAATATAAAAATAAACTTTGATACAACAGTTCTCATATTTATACCTAATATTAAATCATACTATTCAGGAATACTTAATGGCTTTCTCAAACTTTCTTAGAAACTTAACCAAAAAAAAAAAATTAAACATTACTCAGGTATGTCAATTTAATAATTGAACAGCACTATATAAATTATACATTAATATTTAATAAACATACAATATTATATTACCAGTCAGGTTAGTAATAAAAATTGTAAAAAAAGAAATATTATTTTCATTTTTGTTTAAATTGTTAAACAATGTTCTACATAAGCAGTATATTATCGTACCTTAACTATGACAATAACATTATCTAAATATTAAATTTAACATTAAAGCTTAATCTTAATAATTTAAAGCTTAACTTATAAATATCTTGCAGTTGACATCACAACATAATCCATACAATATACATCTCTTATTTGAGTGTTATAAATTATAATTAACCATGAAATATTGAGTAAGTTGTATATTATAGTGGTTACTTAGCATGGTTTACTTAGTCCTTTATTTGTAATTTGCTCGAGTAAGAATAATTTTAAAAAAATATTCTACTATAGTATGATCCAATCAATATGTACGTTAATGTCATACTTACAAACGTTTATTAATTTGACAAAATTTTCACAAACAATATGCTGTTTATTAATTTCCGAGTAAAAATGTAAATTTGAAAAATAAAAACTGGTCGTATTTGTTTATTAAAATTTAAAACCAAACATACTTATAAGTTTGTATTTACGTTCAACTATTTAGTTACTTTTAGGTTTATACATTAAATATTTTATCAACAGGTATGAACGTGTGTGACGTAAATATTTATAAATGTAACACTACATTACAATAATAATTAGTAAGTAAGTATATATAGGTACTGTGCAGTAAGTATACTACCTATGTATGTATGAACAAATAATCAACCTGTACTCCAATAATTCCACATCACGTCGTCACCAATGCAATATGACTAATGTTACAATCGCAATATAATTGTAATAATATCGCTATAATAACAGAAAACAAAACGCTATTGGAAAATCATGATGAATAATAATTACCTTTCGTTTAAGAAGTTCAAATGCCAACGACGAACGCGAATATATTATAATGTTTAGTTATGTACCACGGTAGGGGAAAACCCGCAAAAAAAAAAAAAAAAACAATCACGATGTAGGGGGGAATAAATGTTTGAAAACGAAAACGGACGCACTCGCGTGAACGGTGAACAGCAACGCAAAGCGCAACAATGCGTGACTGCCGCGCGGTCGTCGCCTGTCGGTCGGAAGCGAGCAAACCGATGGACTTTGGCTCCTAGGCGCGCCCTTACACGCCGCCGCCCGTGACGTCGGCGGCGGTTAATCGCCGTCACGCGTACCCTGTGCCATACGCAGTGTACACGTGCGCGATACTGGAATTTGTACTTTTTTGGGCCCGGGGTACACTGCACAGATGAAGCAGATGTGCACCGATGTACGGTGTATGGGTGGAATTATATTGTTGTACGCAAAAAAAAAATAAAAACATTACAACGAGGCATTATTTTGATAGCTCCCTGCACTTGCAGCACTTCGAAAGTTCAAACCTCTCGCGTTGGGCGCCGAACCAACGAAACCGAAACCAAACAGTGTTATTTGTTTTTCTTTTTTTTTTTTAAAAGAAGCTATATTTCGATATTGTCCGGTTGTACCTATACCCACCCCCTCGTCAGTCCGCAATAAAAGCCAAAACAACAGAAAACAGATGGACCCATCGCGAGTAGTTCTCGTTGAGAAAATGTAATTTATGTTTCGTTTCGTTTTATTCGTTCGTGATTTTACTATCATTTGTACGTCATATATGTACATAATTCGTGGGCCACTCGTGGTTTTTTCCAAATGATCGAAATAATATTATTACCCATAACTAGGTACGGAAATAATAACATTGATAGTCCCGAACTTTGAAAAATAGATCTCATAATATTGAAATGCAACTCAAAATAACTGGATATAACTTCATATATTTAAACGATAGAATTATGTTATCAAACGTATTTATGTGTTTATTATTACGTTGTGTAATGAAAAAAAGAAACATAATTTTTTTAACCTGCATATAACTATTAGTTTTTAACACTCATAAAACTTTTGACTACACTAGTTTCTAGATTTTCACATTGTACTAAGTACACAGAATGCATTAATGACCAAAAAGCACTGAGAATGGATTTAAATTGTTGCCGTCTTTTTTCGTTTCATGTTTTATAAATGGTTGTCATTGGTTTTTAAAATATATAAGTAATAACATTTTCCATCCATTTTCTCATACCAAAAGTTATCGGATGTGATTATTAGGTACTTGATATAATAATACAATATCATACATTATAAAATTCAAAACTAAATCTAGTTACATTGTTTTTTTTTCCATTTCAAAACAATCCACAAAAATATAAAAATCAGTTGCAAAATCCAATAATATTTGAACCCATGATGTTTCAAGTTCGTATGTTCGATAACAAAGTGTACAACCTGGCACTAAAAAACATCAATTTCGAGTGTTTCATAAAAATATGTAGTAAATTTAAATAAATCTGGTCTAAAGAATAACAAATACCTTCATGAGGCGTTGACACATTGTTAATTTGTTCTGAGCATTTCAAGATTATTCCTTTCAAATTTTAACCTTCGTTAAAATGGGGTTATTATTCTAAGTGTGAAAACTACCATTATTTGGAAAAGCATATTTACATTTTTAAAAATGTACTTTTGTTAAACTTCAAAATACATTAAACAATTCTAACATTTACACGCGCAGAGAAATAAACCATATATTTCAGGAGTACCTTGCTTTTTCATTTTATTAGCTTAAACTTAAATTATTTATTAATAGAAAAATGAAATATTTGTTTAATGTCTGATCGGTACATCGACATTTTTACTAAATTTTTCCGACTAAAGTCAAGAAATTAAAAATATAGATTGATATTAAGAAATTAAAAGTCGATAGTGGTTATACTAACAAACATAAGTGCTAACAATATTAGGATAATATTATTTTTATCTACAATTTGTTCTCGTAGAGCTCTTTATAATAATGAATAACATACAATCGCTTATTATGTAATTCAGTAACTTCTGATGAGTGTCATGAAGATTTTTTCTATTAATTATCTATTTGTACAATTTCAAAATCAAACAAACCTTCCATTTGTTAATTTAACGATTTATTTTTCATTTTAGGCATTGAACCATAATTTATTATAGGTTCTAAGTCATGTATCTACTGCGATGCTCTTTTCTATTTTAAATTCTTCATATAAAATTGTTGAACTTGTGATCATCCATTTAGAATTATTTACTTCTACTGAAATTATTGAAATGCATTACTATAGTCCATAATGTAATTTACAGTACCTAGTCTTATATTTAATTTAAGAAAACAAACTTTGGTACTTTAACGGTCGCAATACTCGAACACCCTACAAGTTAAAAACTTTTATGAAAAAAATGTATACTATAGTAAGAGCGCAAATCTGCTCAGCCATAGTATATAACTACACAATCAGGTAAGCAATAGGTAATACGTAAGTTATAAGTTAGTAATAAGACCTTAAGTATCTAACCAAACAAAGACAATCACACCCAATTACAAAACTTTAAATTGAGTTGAAAGTAACAAATAAAATATAGTGGTCCTCAAAAGTATTATATTTTATTTATGCATTATTTTAATTAAAATATAACAGTTAGAAAAACTTTGTTCCAAATTAATTGTGATCACTTATCATAATATAAGTTCACCGGTTACCTATATTTATTTTAAACATTTATATATTCTCATTTTATAAACTTCTTTGAATGTACTTATAACAAAATACGTGTAATACACTAAATCACTTTAGAATTCTCTATAAGTTATGCACCTTTATAGCTCTGTATGCCTGTACCAATTTAAAATTTCAATAATTTTCACTTAAATGAATGCGTTTATGAGAACAAATTGTAGGTAAAAATAATATTATATTAATATTGTTAACACTTATGTTTGTTAGTATATAGGTACTGTAAAAAAAACTGCAATAACATAATTATATTTAAGATCAATCATTTTTTAAATTATTTATTTTATTTTTAATGGAATACAAGTTTTTATAAAATATGTAATACAATTACGTAAATAATATTTTAAAATCAAAATTTAAAAATTTATAATTATTTGAATAATTATGTAAGTAACAATATAATGTAATAAGGAAAAAAAATTTTCTTTAGATTATGCAAATGTACCTGTGTCAAAAATTCTAAACACATTTAAATAGTTTAAAATATGTTAGTGGATAGATGTTCAGCTAATATAACTTTTTTGTATATTTTTCGATAGAAAAAAATACTAAAATATAAATAACTATATATTGGTTTTAGAAGGATAATGATATGTAATTCCTAAATTATTTTCAGTAGTTTGAATTTTCGAAGAAAGGTTTAAAATAAATGTTGTTTTCTCCGTATTTCCAGCTTTTTGGAAGTATTCTGACATAGCAATTTTAGTGGATTTAACTTCAGAAGTATTACATTCACTTTCTTTGCTTTTTTTAGTCTGTGACTTCTTATTTTTATTGGTCTTCGGGCCTTTTTTGAATGACGAGACGCCCACTTTTACAACAGATGCATTGAAATTGCTTATCACATAAATATTATTTATCTGACACAACAAAGTGTCCGACGTAGAATTCTCAAGCACGGCGGAAACATCCTTTGATACAGTCTTCAACAATTTATCTACATATTCGGAAGAATCATCAATTTCTTGGTAAAATATTTTTGACTGAAATAACTGATTATTTTCATTCGATTTCAGCCTGAAATTGTTTATATTTACCTGTTATAGTTAATATGTTAACTATTGGCTAGAATATAATATTTAGATAATAATGTTGGGCGCAGTGAAAGTATTTATAACATCGTCAGATGGTAGTCAAATATCTTTATTGATTTACACCAAAAATACAAATTGTTTTAAACAGCAATATTAATACGTACTTTACAGATAAGTCATCGTGAATTGGATGACCAATTATATAAAACAAATGAAGGATAAATATAACAGAACCTATACACGAACGAAAGTATATCATACTGTATTTATCAGCTACAAATTATTAACCATTAATGTTATATTATTAAATAGTAAGTATTACAGGCTTCTATGTGTTTCAAATATGACACACAAACAGTGTATCCAATGGATACAGTGAATCAATTAATAAGCATTTTTTTTGAGCCAAAACATACAGATATTTTGTTGCAATAGAAAACCAATTTTTTGTTTGAAATTATTTTATAGAATTCATCTTTATTCGTTGTTGTATACCCAAACCACTGATAAATATTGATAAAATATAAATAATATTTACATGTACTACCAATGGTTAATGCATTCGGTTTAGATTTTTTTTTGTTAATAATACAATTATACAAAATTATTTTTATATTATATATTATAATCTGGATTCTATTTCCGCATTCCAGTATAAACTAGTCGAGATATGATCGGCTATAATATATCACTTTTTATCGTTCCAAATACAATACATATCGATTGATTACATAATCACATGCCTACCTTCAACTAGTTTATTGTCATTGTTTTCATATCATATTTGCACAACTCACTCTTCACCGCTCGACCTAACCGAACGGTTCTCTTTTCAGCGGGCAAAAACAAAATAGTTAGTGAAATGTATAAACCCTATTACAATACAGTCCACCACACGATGTAGTGTTTCAGCGCAAACATTTGAACAGTAAATTACCTTAAAGTTGTTTTTTAAACGAAAATATAAGCTGTCTGCCGAAAAACAACGGTAGTTTATGGTTTGATGAAAATATATTGCGACTAAAAGTTGCCAAGCTTTTATAACGGCATTCGTGTACGGTCCGTAATTATTAACAATTCCGTTTGCTCGGCATACGAGATTAAACCGACTTTCGTCCCAGGCGTACACCTCGACCGGATTACAGCAACGTAAGGGTACCTTGAGAGCTTTACTTACACACTAGTTGAGTGTGTTCGCGGTTAGCGATTCGTAATTAGAAATTTATTAAAATCCGTCATTTGGCGTCGATTTGTGTAATGTTAATGAACAATTCTACCAGCCGGTAAACAAGAGACCGCATCATATTCACGTGAGCTCGTTCTCAATGGTTTAAGAGAGAAAAAATATTTGTTATGAATGATATCAATATGTATCTATCCACGACTAGTGACTAACTTGGCAGAGCAC